TCAATTTTTAAAAAAGGACAAAACTCAATAGAAAAAATGGGTAAAGGATATTAATAAGAAGTTCACAGTAAACGGAATAGATATGGATAATAAACATATGAAAAGGTGCTCAATTTCACTCACAAAGAATTTGTAAAACTAAATCAAAATGAGACCCCATACAGATTGCCAACAAACACATGAAAGAATGCTCAACATCATTAATCATTAGAGAAATGCAAATCAAAACTACAATGAGGTATCATCTCACACCAGTCAGAATGGCCATCATCAAAAAATCTAGAAACAATAAATGCTGGCGAGGGTGTGGAGAAAAGGGAACCCTCTTGCACTGTTGGTGGGAATGTAAATTGATACAGCCACTATGGAGAACAGTATGGAGGTTCCTTAAAAAACTACAAATAGGGGCTTCCCTGGTGGCGCAGTGGTTGAGAGTCCGCCTGCCGATGCAGGGGACGCAGGTTCGTGCCCCGGTCCAGGAGGATCCCACATGCCACGGAGCGGCTGGGCCTGTGAGCCATGGCCGCTGAGCCTGCGCGTCCGAAGCCTGTGCTCCACAACGGGAGAGGCCACGACAGTGAGAGGCCCGCGTATCACAAAAAAAAAAAAAAACCTACAAATAGAATTACCATATGACCCAGCAATCCCACTACTGGGCATATACCCTGAGAAAACCATAATTCAAAAAGAGTCATGTGGGCTTCCCTGGTGGCACAGTGGTTGAGAGTCCGCCTGCCAATGCAGGGGACACGGGTTCGTGCCCCGGTCCGGGAAGATCCCACATGCCACGGAGCGGCTGGGCCTGTGAGCCACGGCTGCTGAGCCTGCGCGTCCGGAGCCTGTGCTCCGCAACGGGAGAGGCCACGACAGTGAGAGGCCCGTGTACCACACACACACACACACACACACACACACACACACACACACACACAAAGTCATGTACCAAAATGTTCAATGCAGCTCTGTTTACAATAGCCAGGACACGGAAGCAACCTAAGTGTCCATAACAGATGAATGGGTAAAGAAAATGTGGCACATATATGCAATGGAATATTACTCAGCCATAAAAAGAAACAAAATTGAGTTATCTGTAGTGAGGTGGATGGACCTGGAGTCTGTCATACAGAGTGAAGTCAGTCAGAAGGAGAAAAAAAAAATACCATATGCTAACACATATATGGAATCTAAGAAAAAAAAATGTCATGAAGAGCCTAGGGCTAGGACGGGAATAAAGACACAGACCTACTACAGCATGGACTTGAGGACACGGGGAGGGGGAAGGGTAAACTGTGACAAAGAGAGAGAGTGGCATGGACATATATACACTACCAAACGTAAAACAGATAGCTAGTGGGAAGCAGCCGCATGGCACAGGGAGATCAGCTCGGTGGTTTGTGACCACCTAGAGGGGTGGGATAGGGAGGGTGGGAGGAAGGGAGACGCAAGAGGGAAGAGACAGGGGAACATATGTATGTGTATAACTGATTCACTTTGTTGTAAAGCAGAAACTAACACACCATTGTAAAGCAATTATACCCCAATAAAGATGTAAAAAAAAAGAGACCCCCTTTCTCACACACTCGATTGGAAAAGATTGATAATACCCGTGTTAATGCAATGCTACCAAATATCAAAATGCCAGTTTAAGTTTAGGAATTTGCCCTACAGATATATGTACTTCCAAACATGCGCAGAATACGTGGAAAGGATATTTCACTGCAGTATGGTTTCTGATGGCAAAACTGGAATGGACCTAGATGTCCAGCAACAAGGACTGGTAGAAAAAGGTATATGGTATATACCAAAGGTATGGTATAACCTTAACATGGAATAAAAGGCAATCAGAGCAGAAGGAATGATGGCTTTCCAGTTAAACAGGGCAGACTGAATCTACGAGCTTTTCTCTATTCCCACTCTAAATTCCATTTAAATTTTAGTAAAGGAATAAAAGAAAACAATAGACCCTCCCCCTGTCTGCCCAAGGAAAGGCAAAATGAAAGGGGAAAAAGCAACGAGAGGGAGGAGCAAGGGGAGGGAGAGCAGAGAGGGACACAGCCCAGAGCACTGGAACCTTCCACCTGCTCACGGAGCAGGCAGAAGCAGCAAGACCTCTGTGCCTCAGAACCCAGAAAATTAAGGAACTGAAGGCTCCAGGTACTGTGAACATAAGGCTGAGGGCGGAGGCTGTCAACCAGAAAGAGAGCGGTTGGACCCCCCAGCCCTCAGTGGTTCACCTAGCAGGAGAAGGTTTCTTTAGAGAAACTGAACTGAAAAGGTTCAGGGAACCCCAGGCAGCATGGAGATCAGGGATGTCACAAGAGGCTGAAATGGGAGGTGAAGAGAAGTCTTCCTACTGAATGGTAAAGGGTGTCATTTCAACATCCCTCCACCGCCCCACACATACACAAAACCACTTAGGGCAAATGGGAAAGGGCTCTTCAAAAGTGTGATACGATGCCACCAACTGTAAAAGTTCAATAGAGTTTAGAGGAGGAGGATGAAGAAATCAATGGAAATAAGGGAAGGCAAATAAGAAATTAAGTGTAAAACACAGAGGTCCCAACATCCAACCCACCTGAGTAGCAGAAAAGAGAAGAAAGAAAATGGAAGAGGGGGAGGGATTAAAGAAATAATACAAAAAGGTTTCCCGGAACTGAAAGAAGGGATTTCCCAAATGAAGAGGCTGAACAAGCAAGTGCCCAGCACAGTGGAGGAAAAGACTCCCTGCAAATCAGCTCGTGGATGCTCATAACCTAGAGAGGAAGAGAAGATCCTTCGAGCTCCTACAGAAGATGGGGAATGAGGACACTGGCCTCCTCAACAGCAACCCTGCGTGCCCGAAGACAACAGCAACCCTGGCCTCAAGACTCTGAAGGAAAAGGATGTCCAGCCAAGAATTATACACCCAAACAGACTAAGTCAACCAAACTCGGGATAAAGTTGAGGGAAGCATAAAGATGCTGCTGATAAGCAGGACCCCAGAGGACTTTACCTGCCGTGCACCCCCTCTCAGGAAGCTGCTGGAGGACGGGTTCCAGCATAATGAGAAAGTAAACCGAAAGAGAGGAATACAGGAGAGGAGGATACAGGAAACAGAAGAGAGGCAAAGAAGACGCCCAGACATTAGAAGAGGAAAATCTCTGGATGGCCTAGGGAACAACTCTAGACTAGAGCAGGAAGTCAGAATGATGTGGGACAGATGTCCACAAACAAGCAAAAACACAGAAAGGTTAGGTCTGTGGAGGTACTTGTCCATATTTAGAGGGTCTTTCATCTCTGCAAAAGAGTTTGAGGGATATATTCATAAATGCTACACAGAAAACTAAGAAAATAGAAAGACACCATAATTACTAACTCCAGGAAAAACAGAAAGTTTGTAAAAAAGAAAAGAAATAATCACAGAACCCTACAGAGCTCGTCTTTGAATAATATTTACATAGTCACAATAATGTCAATACTGAATGCCAATCTAACCAAACCTGTAATACAATTGTTTCAGGAGAACAGAAGGTGAGAAAACATGTGAGTTGGTTGGTTGATATTTTCAGGTAAAGCAATAATGGCATTAAATCCTCATCTACTGTATTAGGAAGCTGGTGGACAACGTCAGAAATTGGAAAATCAAAAAATAGGAGTGTACACATTATTTAGAGACATAAAGGAAATTAGCAGAAGAAACAACTAAAAGAGTTGAAGGTGATCAAATCTGAGGAAGAGATTTGGAGATGAGGAGGCATGGGGCAAAGACTGCTGCTTTTTCATTATGATTTTATAACATATTTAACTTAAAAATTGTGTACATGTGTAACTTTGATAAAAAAATAAAATTTAATTAATTGTGAAAAGTAAATCTACCCATTTTGACACAGAAACATAGAAAAACAGGAGGCCACACAGTGTGTAATGGCAAGATTTGGGTTTTTCAGGCACTTCACAAAGATGGTGATCAATGCAGAACAATGGAGGAATAGACACACAGAACTGTTAACAATGAATGTCATAGAGGACTGGGCTGGGACAGGGGGAAAGATGAATATGAGATTTTTACAATTTTTACTTCCTCAGTCCCTGTACTTTGATTTTTTAACAATAAGCATGAATTACTTTCTAAATAAAAAATACTTTCAAAAATTCATCCTCTTAAAAACAGTTTGTAATGGATAAAGAAGATGTGGTACATATACACAATGGAATACTACTCAGCCGTTAAAAAGAATGCAATAATGCCATTTGCAGCAACACAGACCGACCTAGAGATTATCATACTAAGTGAAGTAAGTCAGACAGAGAAAAACAAATAGCATGTGTTACCACTTATATGTAGAATCTAAAATATGACACAAATGAACTTATTTAGGAAACAGACTCACACACATAGAAGATAAACCTATGGTTACCAAACAGGGAAGGTGGGGGGAGGGATAAATTAGGAGTTTGGGATTAGCAGATACAAACTACTATATATAAAATAGATAAACAACAAGGTCCTACTGTATAGCACAGGGAACTATATTCCATATCCTATAATAAACCATAATGGAAAAGAATATGAAAAAGAATACGTATATGTATGTATAACTGAATCACTTTGCTGTACACCAGAAACTAACGTAACACTGTAAATCAACTACACTTCAATTAAAAAAAAAAAAAACTACGTTTGTTGTTCTCTTTCCCATAAATGTTATTACTGTCCACATATATTTAATATAACTTGTCCAGTTCAGAAGTGTGAGGAAATGCTGAATGTATTTTTCATCTCTCATTTCTGCCCAGGTCTGATGCCTTGATATTAATTATGCCTCTATCAGGGGTGATACAAAAACTGGAGCCAAAACCAACCCCAAAGCTCATTGCTAGCCTAAGCACTGACCCCATTAAGTGACAAACAGAAACCATCACTTTATCATCCTGCTACCGGCAGCTCAGAAGGACTACAATAATGAGACCCAACCTGGGGACAAAAATTCTAGAACCAGAAACTCGCGGCCCAGTCTTACCCAGCTGCCACTTGTGGGAACACATGGTCTCCATCATCCAGATGGGCAGGGCTGGCTCCAGCATGGCAATCCCCATGTTTGCAAAGCAGATGGACCCTTAAAGGGAGGAAGAAGGTTAGTGTCCTTCTGTTTGGGGTCTCAAGTGTCCCCTACCATTTCCAAACACAGTTAAATCCATGTGCCCACAGCCAGAACAATCAGCTCAGATACCCAGAACGTCTACTTTTGTAAGAAAAAGACAAATGACAGGTCAAAGGGATAGTGGGGAGTGTTGCTTTGGAAATTATTATTATTACTTAAAACAACTAGAATCCCAGAGTCATAAAGTGTGGAAGTGGAGGAAGGCTTAGTGATCACTAGGTTTAACCTTCCCAATTTATTAATGAAGAAATGGAGAAATCCAAGTTATTATTGATTATAATATTATTTCATTACTTCATTATTATTCATTATCGTTATTATTCATTATTATTATTCATTATTACATTATTATTAATGAAGAAATCCAAGTTACTAATGCAGTAACTTGCTTGAGGCTACTCAGCAGCTCGGGCTGACCACACACAGACTCAGGCAACCTGAGGCTCCTACACCTATGTTTCACCGTATAACAAACACAGATATTTCTAACGATGCCCTTAGTTGCCCAAAATTCAAGTGCATTTAGTGCAAACATGCTGTTGAGGGATTTTTTTAAAATCAGCTGTACCTATAGGGTATCCATGCAAATATCCGTTATCACTGTGTTAACCAGAACCCTTCGTAAATGTAGAACCACCTGGAACAACACAAATTGCCGTCCCCATTGTTCTGAGAGCCTCCTGTGCTGTGTGCCGTGGAACCTCTAATTTGCTAGACTCCTGATTCAAAGAACATTGCGCAATCATAATTAAGGTGTTTACATACGATGAAAGATTTTTTCATCCTTTGTAGCATTTAAAGACAGAACATAAAAATGATGCTGAAATGGCTGGACTCCCCTCACCCATCTATTCCGTGTTTTCTTAAATTCTGTATTTGTCTATTTGACGTTAATTACAGGGCCAAGCTAACAACCAGAGTTGTTCAAGTCTCCCCTGTGATCCGGAACCCATACTCTGAGTCCCTGCTTTATCTAACTCTCACCCACCTCACCAGTATCTCCTGCCCTAAATCCACCCAGGCAACTGGGGAGAGCACCCAGACTGGAATTATTTAAACTAGCCAATCCTAAACTGCTTACCCTCCCCTACCTTTCCCATGGAAAATCCACTTTCTCATGCCAATGCCTAGGTTCTGGCCTGGGTCTTCCCCTCGTCCCTTTCTGCCTCCTGACCAAACCTAGTGCCTCCCCATGTGGCCCTGAGCGACGTGGCATGCCCCCTTTTCTCCAGAAACATAAGTAATAAAATCATCCTTTGGTGGTATTAATCTCTCCGTGTCATCTCGTCACTCAGTCGCCTCTGTAAACTAAACCCCAGCGGTACAAACGAGACACCGCCTGCCCCCCAGCTCCACCCCACACCCCACCATCCAGGCTGCCCGGACCTGCCGACAGCCTGACCCTGAGTGCCGGCTGGATTTCTATATTTCCTCCAAGGGTGGGTAGGGGTGAGACAGTGAGGGCCCAGGCAACACAGCCTGCCCACACGTGTGCCCCGAGGTGCAGGGACTCGCATCTCTGGGCCCCCATCTCTCACCACACATGTCCTCACCCCCCAGTTCGGACAGCCAGGGCTCCAGGGGAATCTCAGCTCTGGAATGTTCCCTGTGTCTTGCTGGGGACACAGTGAGGTCCCCCTGCATGAGGAGGTCGCCACACCAGGCTTATAACCCTTTGGTCAACAGGCATGACAGACAAGGTCTAGACCAAGGCCTCTTATGTGGTGCCGGGACCAAACCCAGCAGTATACACCTTAACAAAAGCAGCCTGGGGTTTTGAAAGCGGCTGAATCTGATGCCCTCAGGTGGGGCGTGCGTCACTTCACCCAGGCTCCCCCCAGCCCTAGTGTCTGTGACTGCTGCTTAGACACACCTACCCCTACCTGGAGGGAACCCTGACCGGGCCTGAGGCCACACTGCATGGATGCCCTCTCCGGCCTGATGCCGAGGGTCACTGCTGACCACTGTGTCCAGGCCCAGGCCGCGTAAGGCTAGTCCCTCACGAGGCAGCTCCAGGCCTGTGTCACTGGGGTGCTCCTGGGAGGTCAGCTGCTTGGATGGATGCAGCCCATTATCCTCCCCAAGAGCCACAGAACCCCAGGGCGTCCTTTGAGCCCATCTCGGCCAAGAACCCAAAGATGTCTTCCAGCCGCCTGTCCGCCGCTGCGCAGGACGCCCTCTGCAGAAAGAGAGGCACCCTTTGGCCCTCTGGGGCCCTGCTGTCAGTCTCTATTCACAGATGCCAAGGTGAATCAGAGCACCCCCTAAGGCACCGGCAGGGAGGCCATGGACCCATTCCAGAAGTTCAAGGCCAAACGACGACAGCCTCTGACACAAACACAGTGAGCAAGTTTGGCCCAAAACAATCCTCTGTGGAGGGCGTCTCTGTGACTCAGGCATCTCTGCCCCAGATGAAAAACAACAAAGGAGCCTGGCTGCGTCAGAAATTAATGACAGAAGAAAACCATTTCTTCTGACGTGTAACCTCTTTGTGCCTTTTATGTTTTTCTACAGCCCAACGTTTCCAGCAGCAAAATGAACGCTGGTCCTCACCGCCCACCCCCACCGCCTGGCTGGGAAGAACCAGGGGTGCTGGGGGAGCCCCACCTGCGGCGATGAGGATGTACGGGTCCTTCAGCAGGGTGGTTAGCGGCGTCCCCTTCTGGCTCTGTCAGGGACAACAGGGGTTAGAAGAGGCCACGTGGCCACCACAGCACCCGCCTTGCCCCGCCGCTCACCTCTGGCTGCACCCGGGATGGCTGGAGCACGAAGAGCTGAATAGCTACAGGAGAAAAAAAGAAGAGGTGTGGCCCCCAGCACCTGCCCACAGGGGTGCCAAGCTCAGGGCCCCCAAGGTCACGGCCAAGGGGTCCACGTGGACTCACTCACCTCCATCCAAGAGCACCAGGGCAGCCAGCACCAGGAACGGAGCTGTCTTCCCCACAAACTCGTACAGCACACTCCCAAAGGGGGGGCCCACTGCAAGGAAGAGAGAGAAGGGCCAGGGCCGGGCCCGGGACTGATGACCGCCCCCTGGTCTAGAACCATCTTGCGTTTCTTGCGTTTCTCCCTCTACTTTGTTCCAAACACTGTGTGGGGTGGCCACCCTACATTCTGTTCAGGACTGTTAAGTTGCCCTGGCAACTTCCTCCAAGGGGTTTCACACCTGAGACATGGAATCACTCCCAAAGTAAAGGTCAGAGGAAATAAGACCCAGGCAACGGAAGTGCACAGGAAAATGGACCAGTGAAGACTTCATGGTCATTACACAGCAGCACAGACAGGGACTGTGGGCTCCAGATGAAGGCCAGGAAAGTAACAGAAAACGGAGAGGACCTGGATCTCTCAGGGAAGGTGTTCGCACCTGGTCTGGGAGCTCAGCCAGGGCAGGTGGAGGAGGCAGGCTCAGAAAGTGGGAAGGTCCTCAGGTGGGTGGTAACTCAGAGAATGTTCAAGAGGAGGGGCCTTGGCAGACCATCCCGTTCAAAGCTTGGGTTTACACCTGGGCCCAGGAGGGAGGTCTGGGGAGTCCAGGTCCTCCCAGGTCAGGACTCTTCCCACCATTTTTCAAAGGCTCCATGAAATGAGGGAAGAAACAGTGGACACTAGTGTGAAAGGGGGCTCACTGTCCAATGCCAGATAGGCCCCTCCCCCCAGGTGGCCCCCACAGTGGCCCTCACCCACCTAAGACCCCCATGGCCAGGCCTCCCAGGGCAATCCCCATGGCATTGCCTCTCTCCTCGTCATCTGTGTACACGCTGGCCAGCATGCCCATCCCTAAACAGGAAAAGAAACAGCGACAGCCAAGCTCTGGGAGCAACAGAATAACCATCATGACTCGCCCTCCCCCACCCCCAGCCCAGACTGTGGTCTCCCCACACCTGCCAGACCAACAGAACATAAGGCCGAGCAGCACCCAACAAGAAGGTGGCACCTTCTCTGAGAACCAACCACCAACCACCACCACCAACACCTAGATTCCCTGAACTATTCCAACTCATTCTGTAAAGGGCCGCCAGCCTGGGCAATGACGGTGGCCCCTCCGACAGATGGAAGCCCCGGGGCACTGACTTAGGCGTTTCCACACCTACCAGCTACAGAAGAGCAGGAGGAACCGATGCCCTGCAGGGACCTGGCGATCAGCAGGAAGGCGTAACTGCGGGAGAAGGCGAACACTGCGGGAAGAGGGGCCAGGCCACAGTCACTGTGGACCCGCTGGTGCCGCGACCAGATCAGCTCAAACAGGGGACCTCCCGTAACCCGACGGGGTATTTCCGTGTTAACCACACTGTGCTTTTGCTCCCTGAAGACTTCTCCTATCAACTTCTTTCTGCAGTTGTGGCCAAAACACCCCCCGACCCCCACCCCCAGCTGTGTTCTCAACCCCCAGCTGGCGGTGGTCAGAGCCCACCCGGTGACCCCCACTCAGAAGGCAAACGTCAGACACTTACTAACTGTTGAGATAAACATGATGCAGAATCCCGTGAACATTGGAATGGGATAGCCGATCCTGCAGAACAGAACCACAGTGAGAACCTGGTGACCGCTGCGTACTCGTGTAGCCTTGATATTGAGTCTCTCCTGCTTACCCTTTGGGATCAGGTGGATAAGTGTTTGGTCAACTTTTCTAAAAATTCATATAGTTGGTGCTTCCTATATGACCTTTCTGTGTTTGACTGTCTTGGAACGTGAATACATTTACGGATTGCCACTCTGAACTTTCACTGGAATAAATGTTAATAAAATATTGGCAAGTAACCCAGAACACGTTCAAATACACAGCCCCTGTTTCCATCATTTTGTAAAAATTTCTTTAATTGCAGTCTTTACTAGAGCTTCCCCAAAGGGACAGTTGCAATCAAACGACTCTAGTAAAAGGTCATCAAGCGATTCAACGGGCAGCAGATGCAACGGCACTACATCTAAGAGGCATTAGGAAGCAAGGAAATTTTCAGATCTGTCTTCACGTTGACCCCCATGAAGCCAGCTGAGAAAGACAGACCTTGTTTTCTGTGCAAAAATTCAACATCCTATTTGCTCTGTAAGACCACTGTCTGTACAGGGCTCTGCTACCACGCGGACAGGGGAGGTGGGAGACCTTGGCCTCCTGGCATCACACCCCTGCCTGGACACCTGGCCCTGCCACTTAACCCAGGCAAATCTCCCCTCGGCCCCGCAGAAAGACCACCACCCACCTCCCAGAGCTGGAATGGGTATGAAATGAGATATGGATGTTAAACTGCTACCAGGGCATCCGGAACAGAAAAAGTGCCTCAGAAATTTTGTTTCCTCCCTCATTCTCTTCTTTTCCTCTCTGTTTCTGCAGATTAAGCAAGCAGGTTGGTCCCCGCCATATGGACAGGGCATGAGAGTGAAGGCAGCTTCTTTCCCTCCCACGACCTGGCCTGAAGGGGCCAGCACTGGCTGAGCTACTGCCCTAAAGGAGACTTGTGTCAGCCCAGAACAGCCCTGAGCATCTCCAGGCCTCATCTCCCTCCAGCCCTGGACCCTCCAGATCCTGGAGAGAAACCAAATGAGGAACAGGAACCCTGAGTCCCAGTCAAACAGCCTGGGAGAGCTCTTCAAAAAAATCATAACACAATACCTTCACCTTAAGGTTACACTCCATTCCCCAAGCACTTACACACGAGCTCAATGACCTGATAAGGGCAGACGACCACCTCCCCATTTTACAGATGAGGAAATTGAGGTACAAAAAAATGACTTGTCTAATGTCCTAGGGCTAATTTCACTCAGGGCCATTCAATCCAGTCCAGGACGTTTCCATGCAAATTTTACTACCTCCTCAGGTATATGACAAAAGGCATACGTGGCTTTAAATAGAACCATTCTAAAAGTCCTGGGCACACTTACAAAGTTTTTTAACTGCTTCATGTGCATCCGGAAACCAAACAGCATCACAAAATCATAGCATTCTCAGGCAGTCGCCCTCCCACAAACCCAGGCAAAGATTCCTCTACTGTGACCTGAAATGAGCTTGTAATTCACAAAGCAGGGCTTGAAGCCAATCCTGTGAACTAGGAAAGATACCAGAGTCCTGAACTGCAGTTCAGATGCCATCAAATGACAGCTTCTCCTGTCTCAACTAACACCGAGCTGACTGCTCTGTGCCCTTATTCATGTAGGAAAAGAAAGCCGTTCACGACACCAGGTCCAACATGGCACTGCTGGATACTGTGAAGGAAACTTCCAGGAAACTCAGAGAACTCACAGGCAGTTTATTTTCTCAGCAACGACTGCATGTCTGGGGGAAGAATGGACATACGACCGCCCTGGAATAAACACAGGCTTCTCATCCCTTTCAACATCCTACTTGGAAAACCATACATACGTCAAAGCTATCGGAATACCAGCAATGTTATGTCCAGTCTACAGCCCAGCCACTGGCCAAAGTCACCTGGCAGGACACAGCTGAGGAGGGCTCCTTCTTACCAGGAGGCTCCAGCACTCCCGGAGACCATAAGGGTCACCTGTGATTCTCACCACAATTCCATGAGGTAGCTGGCTTTATCCCTATTTTCAGATGGCCACATTGAGGCTTGGGGAGCCGCCCCAAATTCAGGGCAATGGGCATACCTCGTGTGTCTCAGGTGGGGCAGGGCCTGCTAGCATACACTTCGGTGGGGACACCAGTCACAGGAGCAGAGGTTCACACAGCTTGAGTGGAACCCAGGGCCCACAGTATCTTTTGAAACCAGGTTGGCTCCGTACCCACAGGGCTGTGAGCTTACGGGAGATTCTTTTTACCAAGGCCAGGTGCTGTGTTTTCTTTAAAAACGCTGTAGCTACTGTTTTGTCTTTTAATTCCTTTGGGATTTTAATAAAGCATGAATGGAATAACCAACCGGCAAAGCTAGAAGGAAATTCAAAGGCTGGCCAGTCCAAACCCCCAACGTGGGTGAGAAAGCCGAGGTTCAGAGGTGAAGCAAGCCAATCGCTTCTGACGCCACCGGGCTCCCGCTGCTTCCTGCTTGTTACCAGACACATGTGCCCTATGCCTTCACCACCAGCCAAGCCGCTGGCAGGGCTGCCCAGTGGAAAGTGCTGGGCAGCGCCCTTCCCTGGAGCTCAGCCCCACGGCCAGTGTGGCCCAAGGGCCAGCTCCTGGCTCTCCACCCTCAGCCTCTCCTGGCCCCCTGAACACCGACCTCAGGAGACTTGCTCAAGGCCCCAGGGTCACTGAGTGATGGGCAGATCGCCACTGTCCTTTCTCCTTCCCCACAATGTCTCCTAAATGGACAGAACCCCAACTGACATTAGTCATAAATGTCTGATTCGGCCTCTTGTCCCAACTCAACGCCATCTCAAGTAAAGTGCTACTAAGCAGAGCCACGTCTGATGTGGCAAACCTTTAACGAAACATCCCTTTATCACCCCCTCGTGAGTCATCCTGGCCCACAGTCATCTTCACAGAGCATCAGGGAGCAGTTAATCCAGTTGAATAAAAATGAAAATCATATATTTGAATCCTAGAAAAAAGTGCAAAGCAATAAAAGTTATATTCATTACATATCCCTACCCAGTCAGCAGAGAAACCCCACTAGGTCTCTAAATTGTCACTGGCAATCAGTACTTATTCTCTAATGCTCCTAACTAGTTTGTCTTTACCACAGAGATTAATGTAAGCTCTCTTCCCAGGCTTGCTAAGACCTGGGTTCCCTCTGCTGTGGTAAGTGACAAAAGCAAGGACACAGAACAGGGGACAGGGAAGGGCACAAACTGTCACCAGATGAGACCAGAGGTGACATCTCCCATTTCGATTACCTCAACATACTCCCAAAAGATGAGCAGCAGTAAACGGAAAGGTATTTTACATTTGCTAGGATATACTAGGAAGCTTGTGGTCAACCATTGCATAAATAAAACAAAATTCTTAGGTTTAGCCCCTGGGTCTGTCTTTTTCAGCTATCAGATGTGTGTGGGGAATTACGCGAGCCTTGGATTTCTTATTCTCCAGGGTGTTCACCGACGCACAGGTCACGCGAGGGCTTTGCTCCCATGAGAAGTACCCAATTCCACGGCCAGCTTCTTCTGATTTTGAAGCAAAGACGCTGTCACACCGTCTCCACCACCCTAATGACATCGAGGATGGGAAATCCCTTTCCAGCATAGCTGGTTTCCCTGTCCATGGAGGAGCTTTTTGAAAAGGTCACTGCTTATTCCTACAAAGCCCACTTCAGACCAGTTGCCTAAAGCTAAAGGGAAAAAAAAAAAAACCCACAGTAGATTTTGTAGAGATTTCATGCCCTGCGGCTTTCTCCCTGTCTTTCAGACGTTAGCTAAGATTTGTGAGGAAAAATAACTGGCTTTCAAATATACTAGGTAACTATGGAAATAAATTAAGTCACTGACGCTGGCTTGATAAAAAGCAGGCCACTAACACAATGACCAGCCGGGGAGGGAACCATCCCCACCCCTGTTAACCCTTCCCCAAGCTGCCGGGTTCGTTTGGAATATCCTGGGTCTAAAGATGCAACTACATGTAAGCCTTACGTTAAGCAAGTGAACGCCACGATGCCTCGTTCTTAACCTGACTTACAGAAGAGAGAAACGTAAAGGTGGTTTTCACATTGTTTACCAGCCTGGAACATTCCTTTTATGTGTATGTCTAAACTCCACTTGCCGGGCCAAAAGACAACAGGTGTTGCTAGTATAAGTCCTTCTACCCCCTTTTACGCACAGCTGTAATCATGAAATGAATACTTAAACTGGAATTATAAAATAAGTCACACAAGCCTCAAAGATGGCAATCAGACCAAGCAAGGCACCCACAGGCTTTGGAAAGTGCGTTACTGGACGCGTGATCACCACACTCGACAAAATCTAAAGGTCCTTTGCTCCCTATCTGGTCACATCTTATTCAGTAAAAATATAGTTCCCAAAGAGTCAATGAAACAGGAATTACTTGTATCATATTAACAGCCAAATGAGCATTTAAATGCTTCCCAAGAATTGTCATTTTTTATTTTCAGGGTTTGGCATGAGATCTTATCCAATATTTAAAACAGACAGGCAGCCTGCGTCACCACAAAGCCACTCACTCAGCAGCATCGTGACCATAAATTATGGGGCCCCAGGTTGTAACACGGGGGTTCGGATTATGACCTGTGTGATGTTGGGTGTCTCATTTCAGAGTGAGTCCCACTTACGGCAAGAAGCTTTAGAAAGGAGCGGCTCCAACCAGCCTGTCTCCATGGAGCTCCCCTCACATCTCTGGGGATGCAGGAGGCCTTTCTTTTCCCCACTATCAGAAGCACTGCAGAGACAGTAGGAAGTTGGACCAGCTCACATCACGGGCTGGAAAAAGATATTTTTCTAGGGCCAGGGAGGTGAGGGAGGATCCATGTCCCAAAAATCAGGCCAATTTTTCCTAAACTCCCTCCCATTGGATAAAAATAGCACCCAACAACTTACTGTTTGAACCTTCCCTCATTCAGCCTGGCACACAAGGGAGAGCCCGAGTAGATGCAAAAAAAGCAGATTTTGACCTGCATTGTTTATATTTCGTAGCCAAAGGTACAAACTGTGTAACAGTAAGCAGATGGAAAGAACAGGAAGGAAGGAAGCCATTGGCCAGAGAGTCTGGACAAATGCTTTCTCCTCCTGAGTAGCAAACCCTTTTGCCTATAATATACTAAGACAGGAGCTTCCCTGGTGGCGCAGCGGTTGAGAGTCTGCCTGCCAATGCAGGGGACACGGATTCGAGCCCTGGACTGGGAGGATCCCACATGCCGTGGAGCAACTAGGCCCTTGAGCCACAGCTACTGAGCCTGCGCGTCTGGAGCCTGTGCTCCGCAACAAGAGAGGCCATGCTAGTGAGAGGCCCGCGCACCGCGATGAAGAGTGGCCCCCGCTTGCCGCAACTAGAGAAAGCCCTCGCACAGAAACGAAGACGCAACACAGCAAAAATAAATTAATTAATAAACTCCTACCCCCAACGTCTTCTTTAAAAAAAAAAATTAATACTAAGACGGACCCAAAAGCTTTTGCTAAAGTCTCCTCAAGATCTGATGCTTCATGTTTTAACTACTCCTTAACCAACCAAGTGTAAAATGCTATTGTAAACTCACTTCTTTACAACACTGAAAATGTGAGTCACACGTCTTGTTGGTAATTGCGGATGTGATTGGCACAAATTACATCAGAAGGCTATTTGCAATGGCTCACAAAGGAAGAGTCTGTAGAGGGAAATGTATTTATCACTTCTCTGAGCACAGCCGTGGAGTGCCCAGAAATGCTGAAAGTCCCCAAATTCATATCTACTGGGCTTGGAAAATATTAGAAAAAAATTACTTATCATGATCACTTTGGAGGGACAACAGAGTTTGTTGTCCTACATCAATATTAAAACTTATTTGCATTTCCACATTACAAGGCAGTGCTAGAAGATGAAGATTATTTTGAAATTTGCTGGAGAGCTGGGAGAAATCAGCTAGGGATTAAAATTTTGCCCTCAATAAGTTCCGAAGTGGATTACGCACCATACCAATAGACTAAACCTCACAGGTCACTAAAGGAAATTAGTTTTCTCTTGGCAGATAATTTTTTGGGAGCCCCAAACGTGAGCCTTAGGTGGCTGCAATGTCAAAGCATTTGGAGTATTTACTAGGGGAAAGGTCTACACTGGTTTTAAACAAGCTGCTTGCCTGGTAGCATAAGCGAAGCATTAAAAACAAGAATGGGGTTTTTTTGTAAGCTTTTCATTTGCCATTTACGTTTGGAAGATTGGAACACTCACATCAGTGCAGCCGAGTTTCTAAGTATTACGCTGTGCAGCTAGTGACATTCACGTCCAAGTGATTGGCAAGGCGTTATTACAATGATGTCCTCAATTTTCCCAATATAGTATTTGAGCTGTTTGCTTTCTCAGAATACAAAACCCTGAGCTGTTTCCTGTAATTATACCAGATGCATTTTAAGAAGCGCTCTTAGGCTTGAGAAAAGAAAGAAAACCCTGTAACTATGAAGGTCTGGCTGGTTTTCCTCCTGAAGAGCAGAGGAACTGCCGAACGTCACCGTGATGACGGTGCCTCTTGGTGGGCTCCCAGGCAGCCCAGCGTCCTGCGGTAACTTGCTCAGCATTTGTGCAGCAGCCTGATAACACTACACAGCAAACTGCAGGCTGGATGTGGCCTGGGACGGTTAAAATGGATTCAATGGCCCTACTCGGCGCGGAAAATCGAATCACAGAAGTTGAAAATGTGCTTCCATCGGACTCCCCATGAGTACGTTACCGGCAACCTGCGTGCCAGAGGACAGCTCGTGCGGAGGAGGGCGGATCCCCTCTCTGAGCCCCTGCCAACACCCCAGGCCTCCCACCCCGCAGAGTGGGCCCCGCTCTGAGAAGGGTCCCCTGCCTGGTTTAACGCTTCTGTTGTTGCCATCTTGAAATGCTTAATAATATTTTAATAGAAGGCCCGGCCAGCCCTGCTCCACCTTTCCCAAGGCCAAAGCCTGGTAAATGTACAGACCTCCCTGCTCCCAGCCTGCAGGGGGTGCTGGGCTGACCTGCTTAAAATTGCGCTCAGCTCTCTGTGCCCCCCAAACAAGCCCCACTCCTCTCTCACCTAGCACATGAGACCTCTTATAGCTCAGCCCTGCTGGGTCCCCCCCCAGCCCCGGCCTCCTCAGTTCACCCCGCCCCCTCTTTTATTCTCCTTTTTTCTCTAGTCCTTGTCTTGGTTCTTGCTACTAGGCCTGGTTCACAGGTAGGACTCTGGGCACCGCCCCATTTTTCACATTGCTGCCTTTGGGGTCACACTGTTACATAGCGCCCCACCACCACCATTCACACTCTACCAGCTCCCACTCTTTGCAGCTGACACCTCCTCCCCTCCTCTGCAAGCCCCCTGTCCTGTACTTGGAGTCCCCATTTATCAGGCAGAGCTGGCCCACCTCAGCTGTAGAAGAGCAAATACTTGCTGGATGGCCACCAGCAATGGAAATGTGAACAGTTATTCAAAATAATGTGGGTCCCAAAAGACTCCAGAACATTGAGATTAATATAAAGCTAGTTTGGGCAGCTTGAATCATCCAGAAAAAACACCTCTTCCCTTTGTGCACGTGGATGCAGCTTAGTAAGTGGCAGGGGAAGAACTGCTACACAGTCTAGGACCTCAGTGTCAGATGTTTCATATACGCAGCAGGACTACAGGTCCTGTGCCACGTTCCCCACCTGGCCATCCCCACGAGCACTGAGACGCCAGCCCTGAAGGAAACCACCTCAGCTGTCTATCAGGAAGTGCATGACCACAGGTGCAAGAGAAGAGAAAGCCACATGGTATGTACAATCCCACAAGGATGGTCATGGTGGCAGTGAAAAGGAAGACCAAATGGGAAATCGTCATTGACTAAGGACAGAAACGTAAGGCGAAGGAGACTGGCTTTTTCCCCAGCTTTGGTTTTCCAGATTCTGATCAATGAATGAGAAGCAAAATCCCAGGTGGAAGTGATCTGGAACAATATAAACATCAAACTTTTTGACCAAAATGATATAACCCACCTGTTGGTCAACAGTCCTATGAATGGGTTGGTGAGGAGCTGGACGGTGGCTTTCGAGGCAAACAACAGGCCGACCTGCACGTTCTCATTCAGGAGGTCTTTGTCTTCACTGGGACAGTCGGAAGGGGCAGTGGACCTGTTAGTCACTGTGCGCTGCGTGGTGGCCTCATGCAGCAGCGCCCCCTGAAGGCTGCCGGTGCTATTGCCGGCGACCACGGTGGAGTTGTCATAATAGGAGAAGATGTTCTGGAAGCTGCCGAAGGTGGAGGCTTTGAGCACTGGCTTGGCAGTCTGGATTTCTATAGCATCTTTCTCATGCTCGATGCTGTACAAGTAACTTGGGATGATGGGGACTGAGAACAAGAGCAGGAGAGTGGTGATTACACTGAAACCCTGCCCGGGACCAAAGCCAGCAAAACCGTGGTCTTGTCAAACGCTAAACGAGGCCCAGAGAAGTGGCATATCTGCCTCGGGAATGGGACCTCCGCGCTGACACTGAACAATTTCACGTTGCTCAGCTCTGCGAACAAAGCCCCAGAGGCTGGGAGAGCTCTCAGGGCAGCTACTGTGCAGACCTGACCCACCCCAGAGATCCCCGTTCTCAAGGGCTTTCCCATTACAGGGCTCCTTCACAGGAATATTTTAGGAAAGCAAGATTCGGTCTGAAGTCTAATCAGTGCTGACCTGGGGTCAACCAGTACTTCTCAGAAAGAGGCTAGAAAGACCTTTAAGTGAATGAATCAAGGAAACAGAAATCGAAATTTCATTAGGTGTCTTAGAAAAGAATAAACCTGCAGGAAGTAATAATTCAGAAATTCTGCAGCAGGCCCACTTCATCTTTCCATTACTTGAGTGGGAAGCTTCAATGTTTCATACAACCTGGAAGATCTGAGACTTTCGTAGAGGAAAAGAAAAACTGATATACTGGAAGCTTCGGGCATGTGCATCACAAAGCATTCAAGACAAAGGAGGATTCGGGCCCTTGTTACTGAACTCAGATGAGCGCCCCCCGCCCCAGCTCTGATATTCCTGGAAGTGAAACCCTGACTGTGTGATGTTCTGAAAACCATCGAGAGAGAACCTTAAATGGAGAGAAGGGAAACAACCCTTTAAAAAATCATTTTTTATTCATTACAAATTGGGATATTTTTAAGGAAAAGCATGTCAAATCTGTTGCTGTTAATGGTGCTAATTAAGAGAACTGGATGTCAATTACTTAGTTTTTCAAAAATCCATTACAGGAAAAAGATGAAAACCAATACCGTTAAAATTGCTCTTGATGTGGGTCCTGTAATGTCTCCATGTCAAGTCATCTGTGGAACCACTACCTTTAAATGTCCCTTCCTTTTATGGAGGGAAGGATTTTGACCTGTTCCTTGATGTGATAGACCACATTATTGACCCACCTTTCCGGGTAGCATAATAATTATTATAACATTATTTTGAATCCTGGGACTTGCTCCTCCTTAATAGATTTTTTTTTTTTTAATCGCGTTGAAAGTGACAAAGGGAAGCAGGAAATTATCAGGAGGAAACATAAGTTCTGGGTTTTATCTGCTGTCACATTTTTTGACCGGACCGCCAGGAAAACGAAGCCACAAACACGGCTACTAGCCTAGACGAGGCAGTCTTGGGGAATGTATTTTTGCAAAACGTCTTCTCGAATTTTCCCGAACCGCGATCGGGTAAGCGGGACGCCCTGGGAAGGGGTACCCGGGGAGTGGGGGGAGGCGCCCGGTCCGTACGTACCCACGACGGTGAGCAGCATGTTGTCCAGCAGCAGCGCGAGGAACACGATGAACAGGATAAGCTTCCGCGAGTGACGGCTCTCCTGCAGCCAGCGGAGCAGTGCCAGCTCGCTCAAGGCCATGGCTCCGGGGCTCGGCTGCGGGCGCGGCGCACGGTCGGTCAGGGGCTCTGCCGGGCTGGGGGCTCCCCCAACCCCAGGCCCCAGACTTCGCCCGGCCCGGCCGCCAAAGGGGCGCTCGGGGAGCGGCGCGCACCGGGCGGCGCCGGATGGTCCCGGGCGTCCCACCCTCGGCTTACCTTCGGCGAGCGCGTTCTCACCGGCACCTGCGCTCCTTGTTAATAACGCCCGCGAGCGCCGTCTGAGCCGGATCCTGGGCGCCGCCCGGCTCTCCGCCGCCCCCGCGGGTCCCAGTTAACCCCCTGCGTGCTCGGAAAGTGCCGCGGGACGCCTGCGCACCGTGCGTCCTGCGCCCCGGGTTTCCCGGGACGCCCTGGAGCCCCGCGCGCGGCGCCTCGGGGGGCTTCCCCTGCCCTCGGCCGGGCTCCGCTCTCCCCCGCGCCCCGGGGGGCGACCCGTCCCCAGCGCCGAGCCCCGCGGGCAGGGAGCGGGGTCGGCGTTACCTCAGGTGGTCTGCGGCTGCCTGCACCGAACGCCGTGGGCTCCGTCCGTCCGGGCGGCTCCGGGTCTCAGTCTCCGCCCCAGCGCCCGGCGGCCGCCGCTCAGTTTACCGGCTCTGGCTCTGACGTCAGGGCCGGCGGGGGCGGGGGGCTGGGGCGCCCCGGCCTCCGCCCTCCCGCGCCGTCACTGCGTCGGAGTAGCCACTGCCTTCCTTTCCCCGCCAGGTGCCCGACCAGGTTCTGAGCCCGGATCCTAAGGTCGCCCCGTCCTGAGCAGACCCGAGCCCCTGTTCCTGCACTTGGCCGTGAGCCCTGGGAACCCGGGTCCGGGTGAAGTGGATGGGTCGCAGAGGGAGGACGTCAAAAGCCCCAGGCCGAGAGGTCAAGGATCCCAGGGTGAAGGGTCAGGGGCCAAGATAAGGAGTCAGGGATTAGTGGTTTCACCTGGCCCAATTAGGCGCTAAAGCTGTCTTTGAGCCTCCCTGTTCCTGAAATTGGCCGTGAGAACATGAAGGCTAGTGAGTGTGCCAGGGAAAGAGGTCTTAGGGTGTTGGGAGCCGGGGACCGATCTCTTTCCTGGAGAAGCCACTCTGCACCCCACCACCCCTCCCCTCTCCCACCTCGGTATCATGATGCAGGGTGCCACTTGGAGTCTTTGACCATCGGGTCCTCAGGTACCCTCCAGATGGTGATGTGGAAACGGGGAAAGGGGACATCTCTCAGTGTCACCCCACAGTGAGAGTGGGGTTCTGAGGGCCCCAGGCCCTGAATCCAATTCTCATAAAATAGGACCATGTCACCCTGAGCAGGGGACACTAGAGAATAGATGAGTGCCTGGCGCCTTAGTAAAAGGGCTTATGGGGCAGCTGCCCCAGGCCCTGTGTGCTGTAGTCCTCTCCCCTCGGTGTTTTCCCCAGGGATTCTGGTTAAAAAGATGGTTGAAACAGGCAAAGTGCCTGTGTGTGGCTGACCTGGAGCTGTCATCCTCACTACCAAGGAGTAGCAGCCCGCCTTTGATTTCCAAGTCCCTCCATTTTATAAACAGAAGAGAAACAAACAGACATGCCCCAAACAGAGCTGGAGCTTTGAAGACCCTTCTGGGGGCGGGAGAAGCAGGAGCTGTTTTCGCGGAAAGCCACTTGAAATAAACGTTGTCTGCTGCAGCCTCAGCCATAGAGTCTGGCCTTGTTTTCTTAATGTTTCCTTGTCAGCTGGAGACTGCTTAGAGCAGCAGGGTGATGTGTAGGGCTCCCCACTCTCTGCACCTCCTTACTTCCTTCCCAAAACCCCCCTGTGCTGCCCCTGATGTGAGAAAAATGGTTGGATACGTAAGTAGGTCAGGAACATGCGGACTCTGGGATGTCCCAGGATATGTGCAACTTAAATATTAAACAGGGAGGAGAGAAGGAAAACCACTTAGGAGGAGAGAACAGATGGCAGGGAGCTGTTTCAGCTGGCTGTGAAGGATATCACGTTCATGGGGTGCCCCAAAGTGCCTGGAGTTTCAGAACAAAGACACAGGTCCTGCCCCTGTGCCCCCTGGGCAGGCAGGCATCACGGTTAAGGGCTCTTGTCAGGATGCCTGGGTCCCAGTCCACTCCGTCCTTGATTGGTGACCTCGGGCACATCATGTATCCTCTCTGTGCCTTAGTTTCCCCATCTCTGCAGTGGGGATGCCAACTGGACATACTGCAGAGTTGTTGTGAGGATTAAGTGGGGATCCACAGTCATTCCTTAACACAGTCCCTGGCACCAAGTGAGAGTCAGTGTCCACCATTCATCCATCCAACAAATATCTGTTGAGCTTTTAGTGCATGCTAGGCACCGTGGTTGATACTGGAGAGACATTAACGGCCCAAAGAGACAAAATCCCCATCCTTGGGGTGCTTACACATTCTGGTAGCAACACCACAACAGTGAACACAGGAAGCCACACCAACTCCAGCCCAGGCAGCTGGAGGAATATGGCCCTAGGGAAAATGCCAGCCCCTGTATTCCCTCCGCCTGATCTCTGCCACCACCCCTAGAGCACCATGGCCTATAACAGTGTCTTCAAACTTCTTGTTGACACCCCCAAAGAGTTTTTAAAAAGATAGGTATGCCTCACACATTTCTCAGTTGACATCTAAAATATTCTTTTATCATAAATTTTAATAGTTTAGGGGTATATTATGTAAATTCACCTTTATATATAAAACCATTATAACTCTTTTAAATGTACCCAATGAATTATAAAACTACCATATTATATTTTAAAATACTAACAAGTTTCTCTTTAACACTCAAAAATTTACATTGTTTCCTTTATGCCTTCAAAGTATATTTTCTTTCTGCTTTCAACAGAATTTTATCCAACTGTAATGTTTTTATTATTTAAATCCAGTATTCACCACCTTATCTATTATATGAACTGCAATAAATATATGAATATGCATTAGCTTTTTAAAATTTTCTTATGGCCATAAGGTTCTAAGTTCTAAGGTTCTCTCTAAAATTGTGTTATTATAACAATTATTAGTAGTATATAAATGATAACGCCTCAGACATATAATATGAATTTTGATAAATATTAAACACAAAAAGGAACACTATATTAGAAGTGCATTACCTGATGAGATGGGTGGAGAGAGGATTTTTGGAGCCTTAGAAGAAGAGAAAGTGTATTGTTTTTATGCCTCAGAACAATGTAACCCAGTAAAATGGTAAGAGTCAGGTTGGGTGGGAGGTAAGCCTTTCCTCGTCAACTGAGAGACAGGAGATTGTTGAAGGGGGAGGTGATAAAAGAGAATCCTCGTGTCTCTACCGGGGTCCATCTTAGCCAGATCAATTTTTAAATACAGGACATATGGAAATTGAGGGTCTCCTATGGCTTGGGAAGTCTTCATACATACCCAGTGTCCTGAAGGAGCCAACCTGGGAGGCCCTGCCTGATCTGGGACTTTGGGACTCTGTAGCCTCTTATTCAACTCAGCCCCTGCCTTTCCCCTCCAGCCACACTGGTTCATCAGGACCTTTGCACATTCTGGTTCCTCAGGACCTTTGCACATTCTCTGCCTAGGAATTTCTTCCTCTTCTTCTTCTAGTTATCACCTTCTCATTCTTCATTACCAGCACTAGTACCACTTCTTAGGAGGAGCCACACTTTCATGGACATCCCCCAAGTATCAGACAGGTCCCCTTCTCTTATAAATCTGCATGGAACTGTTACTTCCTCCGGAATATGTCTGTCCATGAGGAACAATACTCACATAAGTGTGATCGGTTATCTCCGTCTCCCTAGGTTATCAGGACTGGGGATACTCTTCTTGGTCATCACTGAGGTTCCAGAACACAGCTGATGCTCATTAAATACCTGCAAAAAGGATGTGCTCTGGGTAAGTCGGGTTCCCTTCTGAGGCGGAGCCATGGGGACCAGAGAGAGAAGCACCGTTGCTGGAAGGCAACGGTTACACCTCCCCCCACCAGAGGCCACTCCTCTGGGACCAGGCTTTGAGGAAGTCCCCTAGTGAATACAACATTTATTTGCTCTTCCTGGGCACTCAGACTGGTGAGCTCAACCACCTTTTTCAAACACTAGGGACTGGGAAGGTACAAAGGTACCACCAGGGTTGACTTTTTTTCACTAAATTTCAATATTTAGGAAAGGTAAGGCATGCAGCTTTCTGGAACATAGCAGTTATTTGAAATAGGCATTATTTGAGATAAACTAACATGAGTTTAAGCTATGAATGGCAACCTCATTGGGTCAGTTTTACAATTCTGTGAACTGGGGCATGTTACTTAACTTTTATGTGCCTCCGTTTCTCATCTGTCACTCAAGCATGATAAGAGGGGCCCCTGACAGAGTTGTTTTGGGGATCAAGGGAGATGATCCTTGCATAGTGCCTGGCACATAGCAGAGGCTCACATTTTAAGTGTTCCCTGGCCTCGGAAAGTGAAAGTGAAAGTGCTGATACGTGGGAGGTATAGCTGGTCTGTGGGGAAAATCCTCAGGTGCTCCCCCAACCAGAGAACTTGGAAATAATGAAAACAAATTTATGACCTGGACATTATGCTGTGAAACGCAAACAAAGGATCAGAGCAGAAATGGACAATAGAATCCTGATGAGACACAATGGTTCATGGGCAGCAACACCTGATACACTGGTTAACACATGGGTAGAGAAAGGAGGTGGAGTACCCAGTGGAGAGCCAGGCACAGGGTAGAGCAGGCTGTTCGTAGACAGAGGAAGCCCCAATGGCTCCCAAGCTCATGAAGAGACACTCAGACCCACTAGTGATCAGAGAAATGCCAATTAAAATGAGAGGGAGATGCGGCTACACCCATTGGACTGGCAACAACTAGGAAGCTGGGTAAATGCCGTATGTTGGTGAAGATGTAAGGAAATGGGGACGCTTTCCTTGGGGGTGGAGTGGGGACTGGTGCAGCCTTTCTGGAGAGCAATCAGGAGTGCTTGGTGGAATTAAGTCAGCATGCACCCTCTGATCCAGTCTATGACTCGGGGAAATCCCTAAAGGGGAAGAACTAGGGTAGGCATCGCAGTGTTTTTGGTGGCAGTGGGAAGTTAGAGGCAACCTCAGTTGGGAATAAATAATTGAAATGTGGAGGATGCTCATGGTGGAGCGCCATGTAGATGGGATTTCCCCGGGTGACTGTGCACAGGTTTTACTAAATCTTGAGTATGAAGGAAGGAGGAGGAGAGCAAGTTCTTTAACAAGATTGCTTGTTAGTTCAGTAAAAGCTCGCAGAGCACCACTTATTTTGGAGGTTTCATTCCTATTCAAGGGGCCGTATTAAGCCCCTCGGAGTGGGTGCCTTCGTAGAGAAGGGGCCGAGGAGTGAGCATCTGGGATGAAGTGGGAAAGTGAAAATAAACCAAGAAATGGACCTTGCAAGGACCAATGATGATAGTACACGCAGAGCTGAGACAGATGATCAACTCAACTCCCTGTGCACGTGGTTCCCCCCTAAGGGGGCTGTGGCCTGTGGATGCCTAGAGAAGTCAAAGCCTTTCAGTACAGAGTTGGCTGTTCTGAG